CATTTGGGCTGTTAACTCAAGCGCTGTTTGCATAGACTGCCTGTAATCTAACTTCGATGGCTGACTTAATCTAAACAATTGATTGTTGTCAGCATGACATGACATGAAAAGAGATAATTACCACTGTGTGCTTCCTATAATTTCGTTTTCATTTCCCATATTTGCACTCAATTTCACGCTTATCAAATAGTCTCTTTGTCTCCAGGCAAATATGTATTTCCAGCTAATCGATAATGAACAAATATGTGTAGATAAACAATCACTGTCTCTTCGTCTTTGTTATTTTCTGTTTTTCAGAAGAATCGGTGGGCTAAAACAGCCCAGAGGTGAACAATGTGGGCGCCACAATCGATTATTCATAAAGTACACACAACTGTACAAGCAGGTGTCAAAAATGAAGTCGACAAACGTTTGTGTTACCCCAACTCACATATTAACCATTACTAAAGAGTGATACAATTGCCGTTTGTTCGATTTATGGAGTGTTTTTAGGGGAACATTTGTTATACACAGTTAGTCATATTTTCAGACTCTCTTTTGTGACTTCATGCTATTGAAACATCTCTTCTAAACATCCACTTTTAATATAAATTATTGAACTATTTCACGTTCTTGGTACTGGCCAATACCATATCGTATTTTGTTGGTTACCCAGCCCTGTTGGAAGTTCTGGTAACAGTATGGCTGATGCTGTGCACAACTAAAGCTACACTCAACAAATCTGTGACACCATTTCTACTTCCCAATACTGATTACAAACCTATATTTGAACGTAAAGCTGTGATCTAATGAACCAACTATTGGTTATATCTACTTGGGTTGTCAGTCCAGATTTGAAGACGTTATTATGCAACGATGTCGTATTGGCCTTTCAAGATATACACATGAGTACCTGTTGAAGGGCGAGGATCCTCTCATCTGTATCCCATGTGATGGAATAATCACGGTCAATCATGCCCTGCTTGACTGTATTGGTCTTTCCATCACAAAAGGATCAATATTTCAGTATAAAAACAATGAGGGATGTTTTTGACCAGGTTTTTCAAAAATATATTGAATTGTTTGAAACATTCAGATCAATATGTTTCTTGAATAGATAAATAGCACAATCGGCAATGACTAAATTGATGATGTAAATGCAGCTAGGGTCCATGCAGGAATCAAACGTACAGTAAGACCCCATGGTCCTTAGTATGGTGATCTGCCTTCAGTTGTTGACGATTTGTAGCTTGCTTTATATGTTGTATTGTCTAGGTTTTGGATTTACATGCTGGTTTTACATCAGGTTCTATATCTGCGATTTTCTGGTGGTTTTTAGTGTAGTTCTTCAACATGTTTTATGTTTTCGATTTATGTGTCATGAATGTATAACATGTTTTGGTCACTATTTGGCTAAAATACTGCTGATGTGACCAGAAATCTTATCTCACTCACTCAATTTTATAGCAGTTCATAAATATTCATGATGTCGTCAGAATAGTTCAGTATGTTATGCCCGCCGTGATATTGCTGGAATATTGCTAAAAGCGGCGTAAAACTAAACTCACTCACTCAGTATGTTATGATTATGGGAATGATTTATCATTATTTGGTATGTTTTTGTAGCATTTGCAGTAGTATCACGAAGCCTTTTTAAACGTAGCAAGAGTAATGATTGATATACTGTCCATGTAGAGTTGGGTGTCAAGGTCTGTCTGAATGCGAACATGATCCCTGCCTGTAAGAGGTAAAGGTCTAAATGGTGAGCCATCTTCGGATTTCCTTTCATATCTATGCTGAATCACACCAAATGGGAATCTGATTCACGATCTCATGTCCTAAAGGTAGGTGCTTGTGTAGACGTCGTTTTCGTCATTAAGTGTCAAACTGGGACATTGTGTGTGCATTACATAAAGTGATGTATTAGTACAAAGAATTTCCAGAGCCTAACTAACTCGCCTTACAGAATCACCTAACGACAAAGTACATGCATAAGATCAAATAACACTGAGAGTCCAATAAACCGTAAAGGTATCCAGATCGATTGCAAACACTATATCAAAAAACAAATATAGAACAAATGTGTTCTGTAGACAATACATTTTTATGATCAACTGTTTAGTGTAGCAAATCATTCATACATGGAAATCTATATGGACACCAAGGAATTGCATGAACGCATATTGTATATTGCACAGTGTTGATTATTTTTAACTTGAAGAAATACATGAACAGGATCTTTAGAATTGAATTCATGACATTACACAAGGGTATAGCCTGCTGTGAGAAGTATGAAGTAAATCCAGAACATTACACAAGGGTATAGCCTGCTGTGAGAAGTATCAAGTAACTGAAAAATGTGTACACGCACGAACGAACGAACGCTCACACAAACATACATGCATGCATGATTGATTTTGATGTACACAGGTTGATCCCACCAACTATCCCATTCGCTGCAATCTGCAGTTCGATGCAATCTTGAGCAACGTACCACCAAAATCGTTGTAAACATTGATGTTGTCCACAGATATCGGATATCCACACTTAAACTTTCCCACGTGTTTAGCACCAGCTCCTGACAGTGATATCGTTGCGTAGTGCTCGTTATATACAATGCTATAGAGAAGACACTTTGAGGTTGAGCTTTTTAGTGTCATACCCATCTGACGTTAAACATGAACTTGCACAGAATACAATATGATCATTTGTATTTACAATTCATAATTTGGAAAACTCGCTCTTGAACTTTTATCTGCTTTATATTTCAATGAAACCGAGTAAAAAGTTCGAACATGTTTTCTGTTCTCCATATTACATACAGTCCGTTTGAGTCAGAAACGGACCGATGAATTGCAAATTTTATCATTGTACAAAATTGCCACATAAATATAAATCGTACACATGTTTATCATTTACTAATACCCAACAGCTTTCTTATATTTGAAAATTTTCCGGACTCCACCAAAACAGTTGTTTAAGAAACTATCATCAGGAAAACGCAAAAGTTGTTATCTGTCGCGGCGGGGTGAAAGCGCAGAAACGGAACAGCCACTATCTCGTCGGGCACGGGATACACATGCCTGATGAAAAATGAAGTTGAATGCTGACGTGAAACAGTTGATGATTAAAGTGTACGATGTTTTCCGTGCTGAAGCCGAAAGGGGCAAACCATTTGATGCCATTGATAAATTCCGTAAGCGGGCAGCAAAAGCTTTAGGAGTATCAGCAAGGGTACTGACAAATGTTCTGGAACGCAAACATTGTGAGGGTGATGCGAAGCAGGTAGGGGTCGTGTCAAAATCACACAAATTAAAACATTTGGACAACTGTCAAAATAACCTTGTAAGGCAGTCTATCAACAAGCTCTATTCTGAAAACAAATACATGTCGCTGAAAATTTTAAAAAAAGCATTTGAAGCAAGAACACAACCTCAGAGTATCAAAGTACACTCTCTGGCGACTCTTACACTCTTTCGGGTATCGTTATAAGAAAATTTCGGGGGAGAATAGGTCAGTACTCTGTGAACGCCCTGATATCGTTCGCTTGAGAAATAATTTTCTCAGGGTTATAAAGAAGAAGCGCGAGGAAGGGTTCGAACCAGTGTACGTGGACGAGACCTGGGTCAATGCCTCGCACACTGCCAGCAGTCAGTGGCTACCCGATGGGGGTGATAAGGGGTCACGTAGAAAGCTGCCTCTAGGGAAAGGAGAGAGACTAATCATTCTCCATGCTGGTTGCTCCAGCAAAGGCTTTCTCCCAGGTTGCGACTTGGTATTCAGGGCAAAGTCCACAAATAACAGAGACTACCATTCCGAGATGAATGGTGCGTTTTTCCTCGATTGGGTTAAAAAACAAGTTGGTACCAGCTCTACCAGAGAAGTCTTTTATCGTAATGGACAATGCCCCATACCACAGCGTGCAGGACCCCGACAGTAAAGCCCCGACATCGAAATGTCGAAAGGTGGTATGATATCATGGTTCTACAAATTTCAGATCGCACAGCCTTCAAAGGCAACGAAACCTCAGCTATATGAGATCATAAAACCCCACAAAGGTGAACCTTTCTACAAAGTTGACAGTTACATAAAAAGTAATGGTCACGATATTCTGCGACTTCCACCCTATCACTGTGACCTTAACCCCATTGAAATGATATGGGGTATTGTCAAAGGAGATGATGCCAGATCAAACACAACTTTTAGATTACGTGACGTAGAGGTTTTGGTTAAGGAATCCCTTAACAAAATCACGACTGAAACTTGGCAAATCTGTGTCAACAAGGTAGCTAACGTCATTGAACAAGGTTACTGGTCTTGGGATGGCTTACAACAGGCAACTGTGGCACCACTTGTCATCCCTTTCAGTCGTGACTATGACACTACGACAGACAAGCAACCGACAGGTCTCCCGGAATAGATTCTGAGATGTCCCCCGCCATGACTGGCTGTTCCGTTTCTGCGGTTTCACCCCGCCGCGACAGATAACAACTTTTGCGTTTTCAATGATGATATTTTCTTAAACAACTGTTTTGGTGGAGTCCGGAAAATTTTCAAATATAAGAAAGCTGTTGGGTATTAGTAAATGATAAACATGTGTACAATTTATATTTATGTGGCAATTTTGTAAAATGATAACATTTGCAATTCATCAGTCCGTTTCTGACTCAAACGGACTGTAGATATAATAACACATTGAGATCGAAAAGTTTGTGTTCTGTATGAAAAAAAACTTAAATACTTTTTATACTTCAGTGTGAACAAAGACGTTAGAAAGTGAGCATGTCCTTTTAGGATCAGTTGCAGTTCAAATGCATCAAAGCACGTCCATAATTTTTTTTACATATTTTGTTCGTCCAATATATGTGAACGCTGAACCTTATTATTTGATGCAACAACCATCGGAATACTTTCATAAATACCGGATGTGAGCAAATCACAACATTGTTGTCAAAATGTAGATGTCGCTACAATATAAATATTATGAGATTTTTATGATTAAAATAAAAATAAGGCTCATCACGATTTGTAACCTTTGCACATTTACATATCTGCAAGTATCGTTTACAACAGGTATTATGAGCAGATCGCATTACTATGGTGATTCTATTTCACATACATGGAATGTTCGTCAGTACTTACACTGGGCACAACGTCACGGTTGACATAAATGACACAATACTCTTTCTTCAATTATAGTAAGGAATCACGTTTTGATCAGCTTCTCAATAATAACTGCACTTAAATATCCGCTATATTTCCGGTACTTAAATCGGACAACTCAGCTCTATGTATTACACATCTACCATTGACCGGAGACTCCCTTGGTGATAATTCTTCCACAACAGTATGATCGACAGCGATACTATCCTTCATTAAAGTAAGACCAAACGTCTGACCGGCTTGGCTTTTCTTTCCACTAAGGAACCCAAATCTGTAACTCCTGGCCTCCGAAGACGCCTGTCTCGGTTCAGTATTGCTGTCCGCATCATTCCTCAATGTCGCGCACGGTAGGAGTTCACAGAAAGCATTCCTGAACTGAGCGTTTGTGCCTATGTAAATCACAGGGTTCCATAATCCATTGCACTTAGCAACAAGAGCCGGGATCGTTGCCATCAAAGGGGAAATAATATCTCCTGCACCAAACGCCGACATGAAAGATACAGCCGTATATGGGAGCCATGACAGCAGGTACACGCCTACAACAGAAGAAAACAGATGACATCTGATGGACTTGATACCAACTACAACAGAAGAAAAGAAGATGACATGTGATGGACTTGTTACCAACTACAACAGAAGAAAAAAGATGACATACGATGGACTTGGTACCAAATACAACGGAAAAAAATATGACATTTGCAGGACTTGACACCAACTTCAACAGAAGAAAAAAGATGATATGTGATGGACGTGATACCAATTTCAACAGAAGACAAAAGATGACATACGATGGACTTGGTACCAAATACAACGGAAAAAAAGATGACATTTGCAGGACTTGACACCAATTTCAACAGAAGACAAAAGATGACATACGATGGACTTGGTACCAAATACAACGGAAAAAAAGATGACATTTGCAGGACTTGACACCAATTTCAACAGAAGACAAAAGATGACATATGATGGACGTGATACCAATTTCAACAGAAGACAAAAGATGACATACGATGGACTTGGTACCAAATACAACGGAAAAAAAGATGACATTTGCAGGACTTGACACCAATTTCAACAGAAGACAAAAGATGACATACGATGGACTTGGTACCAAATACAACGGAAAAAAAGATGACATGAGCAGGACTTGACACCAACTTCAACAGAAGAAAAAAGATGACATGTGATGGACGTGATACCAATTTCAACAGAAGACAAAAGATGACATACGATGGACGTGATACCAATTTCAACAGAAGACAAAAGATGACATACGATGGACTTGGTACCAAATACAACGGAAAAAAAGATGACATTTGCTAGGACTTGACACCAATTTCAACAGAAGACAAAAGATGACATATGATGGGCTTGGTATCAAATACAACGGAAGGAAAAAGATGACATGTGATTGACTTAGTACCAAATACAACGGAAGGAAAAAGATGGCATATGATGGACTTGGTACCAAATACAACGGAAGGAGAAAGATGACACGTGATGGACTTAGTACCAAATACAACGGAAGGAAAAAGATGACACGTGATGGACATGGTACCAACTACAAGAGAAGAAAGTAAATGACATATGATGGACTTGATACCAACAATTACTCGGCACACGTTAGTTTTGTTTCTCCATCGCATCAAATGTAAGGCATAACACTTATTAATCTATCCTCGCAGGGTTTTGTTATACATGTTTCAAAAACTGGCTTCCCATAGATTAAACTGCTGGGCAAAAGATAGCATACTCTTGTAAATTTGATTTGACCAAACCATCACAATTTCAAAACGGTACGAGTGTGATAACATTATCCGAAACACTATATAAAACTACAACTCTGATGTCGGTTTCAAATACATGACCATTACTCGTGTCTTTATATTCCCTCTAACTCAGCGGTTTCTTTCGCTTTTGTATTTGTAATATATTTGAAAAAAAATGTAAACGCACAAAAAATGACTGTTTTGCCCATTTGCTGCAACAGACGAGTCAAGAGCAGCTCCGACCATATAATTATGTAAATGAATTCGTAATATACATTTTGATTTGTCTCTATAATAACACATACATATGAGATTAGTCCTTGTTATATACACGAGGAGGTAGTCTCGTGCTAAAAGCATTAACTCGTCACGCCTCGTCGATTACCACATAAGGAAAATGACTGAAACTTCATTCTTGTGTCCTCTCGTCCTTTGCTGCAAAACTGTTTAAAGATGAGAAAACCCACTCACGTACTCAACATCTGATAAGTATACAGGTTATACTTACAAACCATGAGCAAACATGTCTTAAACAACTTTTGTTCCAGTCTGAGATTCTTTCTGGCCACTCGACTCTTTGAGTCCCACACATTACATTTTGCAATATTCCGGACCTGAAATGAAAATGGGAAATCGAATTAAATCAGTTTCTAAGTTTGTGTTCGTATATGAACCACATTCCAATTTCTGTTATTTGGATAAAAGATTGATAGTACTTTGAAAAGGTTTTCGTGTATGTGGTGTTTTTTGCCTGCTGTGTATGGTTGGTTGCAGTTCAAAGGAGACAACAAGACTTCTAGCCTGCTCATGCAGCTTCACTAATGGTCGCACAGCTAAATCTATAACCTCACATGGTTTTTCGACGTGATGGAATGAGAAGATGTTTCAACAAACATGCCAAATAGATAGCAATCTAATCTCCACGTGAATTTAGTAATAGGAGGGCTTTTTAACGGTGATAGGAGCAGCAGTCTTGGAGTGACCCTTGAGAACAATGTAATCGTGGCAATATGTATGCCCAGTCCTTTCCTCTGACATGTTTCCGATAACAAGCTGTTCAGAGCTGACAACATTATATAACATCGGACATAACGGGATTTTATCACTTGATTGCACCGTCCGTCTACCCGTACCAGTCAATTTTTGTATCAAAGAACACGTGCGTAAGTAAATTTTGGTTTTCGTCCTAGTAGGAAAATTCCTGGATCAAATCACCCGAAAGTGATTTCGTTCCAGGTCAACTGCTGAATGATTGCATATTAGGATCAAATCTGCTCTTGAGCTAGAAATGGTGGATAAAATGAAACACACAGGAACTGGATATTCGGTGTTGAAACGCGAATCAAAATTGTGTAACGACCTAGTAACGTGTTCATAAGGCATATAATCGTTCCTTCAGGCCCATGTTTAAGTGTATACTTTCTTTTGCCAAGTTGATTATTTTTCAATCACTTTTACGCATCTAAACACAATTCAAAATCTGACACAATAATTAGGAGATATCTTAAACGTCCCTTTACTCCATGGGCTCGGATATAAAGTGGAACCTCAAATCATTTGGATAAAGTCTTACATTGGTCAAATGGAATTCCGTCCCTGATGAACTTAAGCTATCTCCAACCCTTGAAAACTTTAAGTGTCATCTCAAAACATTTCTCTACAAAACGTTCTATATCGATGGACTTCATTAATGCTTTATTCATTGTGAGCGCAATGAGCATACCGGTCGGCGCTATGTAGAGTGACACATTAAAGTAAGCGTATGGCCGCAGCCTTTCCCCAAATCAGTTTCTGCTCTGTTAAATATTCATCACAGTTTTTCTGATTATCCTGATCATCATCCGCAATAATACACAAACCAATTATTCCCCCGTTATTCTGATTTCCTATTGATGTGCACTGTAAACTCCGGATTGTCATGTACGATCATTTACGATTTATCTGTGAGTGAGTGAGTGAGTGAGTGAGTGAGTGAGTGAGGATAGTATTCAAGCTATATCACGGCGGGGGACATCAGTAATATTCTCCCCATGTGGGGAAGCGAACTCCGGCGTGACGAGCGACCGCTTTAACCACTAGGCCCTCGAAACTTCTGAACTAAACCTATGCATGATATATTGATGTCTCTCGTCCACAATGATCCACCCTGTTAGAAGGCGTATCATACGTCTCTCCCCAATACATTCATAGCTCCTCTGACAATATACGGTCACCCAAACTGTAATGTTTCATTCACTGCATGTATGTAGCATGGTTCACATCTAACATAACGAATCACAATATAAGACGTTTTGCATAGACAGACATATGTTTCAAAGTATGGTAAATACACCTGCTTGCTTGCTTTGCAGGCTTTACACCAAACACACTCACTCATTCATTTTTGGTCTTTGGAATAATTACATTAATTTGTGTTTATCTTGACCCATTTCCCACAAACACCACTAATGTTCTTACTGACCTTGTGTCGTGCCACTTGTTAACTCTATATGTAATAATGAGGGATCAATCGATCACTTCTACACTAAAAACTACCCATGACATATATACGGCTCATTGCCCTTCACTCATAAGTACTTTTATAGCTCGTCTGATATTGCTCTTTTGCCATTTTAATATCATTGTTCGTAGGGGCGTCATCATAACTGAATCTCGTGATGTAATCCTATATTTATGGGCTTCGGTTTTCTTCGAACAACACGGGAAACACAACACGCTTTCATAGTTGAAGTTCCACTGATGAGATGTGCTTTACGCATCACTTACACAGGTGTGGATTTAATTCTTGCGTTCACAAAGGATATTATATGAAAAGTGAAACAAGTACAAGACTACTACATAACCTATGCTTAGAAACCATATAACATAATCCATCTAAATGTTAGTCGGCAACAGGGACATTTGTAAACAGATTTCTGTCATCGGCATCAAACTACTGCTCTTTTGCCATTTTGATATCATTGTTCGTAGGGGCGTCATCATAATTGAATTTCGTGATGTAATCCTATATTTATGGGCTTCGGTTTTCTTCGAACAGCACGGGAAACACAACACGCTTTCATAGTTGAAGTTCCACTGATGAGATCTGCTTTACGTATCACTTACACAAGTGTGGATTTAATTCTTGCGTTCACAAAGGATATTATGTGAAAAGTGAAATAAGTACAAGGCTACAACATAACCTATGTTTAAAAACCATATAACATACTCCATCTAAATGTTAGTCGGCAACAGGGACATTTGTAAACAGATTTCTGTCATCGGCATCAAACTACTGGCAGCTATTCTGTGTCCGGAGTGGGGTAGCCATGTTAATGTGCAAGATGATATTTCAGTCGTCAGCCACTGTAAAGCCGGCTTTACTGCGAACTTATACAAGCAGCCACGCACGCACTTAACGCTTGCAAATATCTCAAAGTGGGACCAGCACTACGGTCTATCCAGACGTTACTATATACTTATTGGGTGAGCCAGAATGCAAGTTCTTACTTCTGTGTAAGTGTAGAGTTGTCACAATGACTACTGCATGCCAGAATAACGTCAGATTTGACATGATGTTTTCACAATATATTGGAAATAGTAAATGTGATCATGAATTGACTATTGTCTGCCATAGGATAATTATGGTCATGACGTTATGGTCGTACTGTTTGGTGATTGAACACAATCACTTACACTTGCCTAAACTCCTATCTTAGTAATAGAAGAAAGTTGGCTTTAAAGATGCCCTTCCGTTAAAACTGTTATACAACTGTAATGGAATATTAACACAAAATAGATATTTCGGAGGAAAAGAAATGGCTTGATATACTCAGAATATGACATTATGCAATCTTTAGAAATGGTAAAAATAAACTATACAGTTGTTAAAAGATTGGTTTTAGTTATTAGGCATAAATATTTCACAATAGGAACAATATTTCAGTATTTAGCAATAAGGACACAGTTACGTCTATCTCGACTCACCGTCATGTAAACATTGTAGTAGGAGAAGGCCATGAGACACAAGGGGAAGATGAAGCAGAAGGAGAAGATGATGATGATGTAGCTGATGTTGACGGGGTCTTCACTCTGCCATACAATACTACAAGAAATCCCGACTCCTTCCAAGTTATACTGATTCCACCCTACCAGAGGAAGAGCAGCCCAGAAGAAGCCCAACCCCCAACACGCGGAGATTGCAGTGGCTGCCACTCGATGCGTAATCTTATAGGACAAGAGGGGCTTCGACATCACAATGTATCGGTCAACTGATATGGCGGCCAGAAGGTACATGGAGGTAAGGCCTAGGAAGTACACCATGAAACCTTCAAGAACACAGACCACATGGCCAAACACCCATCCATGGCTGAAGCTGGCGGCACATGAAATGGTTGAGAAAATTGCCATCAGAATGTCGCATATACTTAACGACATGATGAACAGATTTGTCGGCGAGCGTAATGTCTTATTTCTGAGGAACACAAGTAATCCGCATCCGTTGGCGAAAAAGGCGACGACGGAGACAGTACAAAAGACTGAACCCATGACATTGTATCCGATTGCAGGTAGAGGAATGTCCGTAGCGGGAGCCTCTGTCGTCACTGTGGACACTGTAACAGTGTTAATGTTGAAGACTGAATACGATGTCATATTAAAGTGGTATTATCGCTTATCTCCAGAACTAATTTTAACGAACAAAACATGGTGTCTTCTTCCATCATGTCCTCGCGAACAAAGGGTTGCGTCAGGTCTGTTCTGGTCTTGCCATCATGTGTTTGTCCTGAACACAATTAAGAGTGTCACGTTAAACTCATATATCTGTTTGCACCGTGACATCCTTTAATCCTGCAAGAAAGCAAAATATTGTTAGATGAGACTTGCACGGTTCATTTTGATATTACACGTGTGCTGGAAACATCAGTGATGTTTGACTTTTGAAGAACCAGAATGACAATGTAATGTGACTTGGCATGACATTGCACATCTGTTACATCTTAAATTGAGTTTACATGCATCGATACGCTATCAAGTATTGCTGTGAAACCTGCCACATCCAATCTTTCCCATTGTCAAATTGAAACGATTGATCCAACTTCCACTGAACGCTGGGACTGTCATGTGTTGGAAGCGAATATGTTCAAGGTCCATCAACACATCAACGCCTTCATACAACGATACATCAATACTTTGCTCTAAAGGTCACAATGTTTCTTTAAGTAAAGGTTAAAGGAGTGAGTGAGTTACTATTTAACGTCACATCGGCAATATCTCAGCCATATCGTGACGAAAACAATCCATACAATAAAAAGTGGAAACATTTTGAAGATAAAAACCTGTCGACGATGGACAGTAAAAAGACTAGAGAATCACAGATATAAATATAAAACTAGCGAGCAAAGTTAAAATATTCCAATCAAAGAAGACAATACAATATAAAATACGGGCTATAGATTGCCAACAATTGAAGGTAGATCACCATACTAGTGCCCATGGGGACTTACATTACGTTTGCTATCTGCATGGACCCGAGCTGGATTTACACCATCCCTTCAGCCATTGGCGTTGATGCTGAGATTTAGCCATACATTAAAACACAAAAATACTACGATTAAAAACCTGGTACACTTAAATTGACTTGAAATGTTTTGGGACTTACGTACCTAAAGGTTAAAGAGAAGTATTAACATGTTTATATGTAATGATTTAGTAGAATGCGCGTTTGATCAACGAGTGCTTTACTGGGTCATCTTTGTACCTAACAGATATATGTAGTCAGATACAGCTGATCAGTATATTAATGACTAGACTAGATTAGGCATCAAAGAGTCGACTTAATAAAAGCGTAATAAACAAACTTCGAAAAGTTGCTTCTTATAAATTATTGATTGGGTTTGATATCCGTTATTAAGGAGCAAAGGGGTGATAGTTAAGTGAATGGGCGAGACTGGCTAAATTCTGCTGTATCTCGGTGTATAGTATTTACGAGAAGTAAGCACATATTAATGTAGCTTTCAGGTGTTTACCAGTCCGATGGAACCAAAATGCAAAGGTGCTTCAATCCAATTGTTGTCATTCAAATCTAGCCTTTATCGCCATGTCTGATATCGATCATTTGATTTCCACAACATTGTAACCACATAATTACACACCCACTTTTTCGGTTACGACATCATGGCAATCATATATGAGTATCATTTGTTCTGCAACAAATGTCTGTCATTGCTTTATGTACATTGCAAAGTAAATGTTCGATGGTGGCTAACATGACACAAAAAGAAAATGTATGTATGTGTTTTTGTGTGTGTGTGTGTGTGTGTGTGTGTGTGTGTGTGTGTGTGTGTGTGTGTTTGAAAAACGATACCATTGCCTCTGTTAAATGACGGCTTTTCAGCTGCATGTAGTAGCGAACTGATGCAGGTAGAGAAAACTGTTCACACAATTTACGACGGTGCAAGGTTTATCGGTAATTTGCCATGAGACCAGTCACACATGACAAATTCCACACAGTCATTAACAATTTCAGTGAATGCATGGTGTTTGTTCTTGGTTTTCATTTATAAGAAATATTTCAAAGATACCTGTTGTCTTCGAGGGTGAAGGGGCATTTCTGAACACTCAACTTGAAGCGCTGAGGTTGGAGTTGTTGAAAAGGGCCCAGTGCATATTCTCAAAGCTTTGGGATGAATTCGGTCAAGCTTATTAAGATGACATTTAGCCGCCGACATATACACTTGGCAACCATAGTCAAGTCTGGATAATATAAGAGGCCTTGCACATATGCAATAACATAGATTGACTTATCAGCACCCCACCCCAGTATTTTTTTGAATACACTTTTAATAGATTGATGGTCTTGTTACAGGTGTTTACCAGTCCGATGGAACCAAAATGCAAAGGTGCTTCAATCAATTGTTGTCATTCAAATCTAGCCTTTATCGCCAGCGTCTGATATCGATCATTTGATTTCCACAACATTGTAACCACATAATTATACACCCACTTTTTCGGTTACGACATCATGGCAATCATATATGAGTATCATTTGTTCTGCAACAAATGTCTGTCATTGCTTTATGTACATGGCAAAGTAAATGTTCGATGGTGGCTAACATGACACAAAAAGAAATGTATGATGTATTCGAGTGCGTGAGGTGAGTATGGTTTTACGCCCCTTTTTAGCAATATTCCAGCAATATCAAGGCAGGGGGACACCAGAAATGGGTCTCACACATTGTACCCATGTGGGGGAATCGAACCCGGATCTTCGGCGTGACGAGCGGACGCTTTAACCAGTAGGCTACCCCACCGCTCCTGATGTATTCGAAAAGTCAAGTGTTTTGGACGTCAAGATGGCAATAATACGCCTTTCAGTTGGGGAGGAAGGGTTTAGCTCATATATAACGACGTCGCATTTGTGTGTGAATGTGTGTGAATGTGTGAGTGTGTGTGTGTGAGTGTGTCTGTGTGTGTCTGTGTGTGTGTGTGTGTGTGTGTGTGTGAGAGAGAGAGAGAGAGTTATGGTATGTGTGTTTTGAAAAACGATACCATTGCCTCTGTAAATGACGGCTTTTCAGCTGCATGTAGTAGCGGGCACTGATGCAGGTAAGAAAACTGTTCACACAATTTACGACGGTGCAAAGGTATATCGGTTGAAAGTGTCCATTGTACATGGATAACACAGATGACGTTGTTATAGAGTGAGTGAGTGAGTGAGTTAAATATTTACATCGCATCGGCAATATTACAGCCATATAGCGATGAAAACAAGGTAATCATTTTAAAATATCTGCCGACAAAGGACAGTAAAACCAACTAGAGACTATCACAGATAGATATATTTAAAACTAGTAATTAAATCTAAAATATAAAACAGGCTGTAGATCGCCAACAACTGAAGGTAGATCACCATACCAGGGACCATGGGGACTTATGATGTTTTAGAGCGCTCAATCGTAACATACTGGTATGTTATAATTAGGATTACTCTTTCTTAGTAAAATTACAGATTTTATATAGCTAGTACTTATGTTGGGTTGAGTCCCATTCGGTATTCGAACCCACACCCTCAGAGTCAAACACCTAATCGCCAACACATAACGTCAGCCGCCTAACACGCTCAGCCACCACGGTGGCTGATTAAGTCTGACTCTGAGGAGGTGGGTTCGAATCCCGGATGGGAATAAACCCAACGAAAGTACTAGAATCTGTATTTTACTAAGAAAGTGTAATCCCAAGAACAACATATGTTACATTTGACCACTTTCTCAATGGCACTGTGTAATCATTAATCGGTTTGTTCGGAGTGGTCCATGTATATCTGACCACAATGGACAGGAACCATAGAAATAATAAGTTGAGATTGATTGACAACCAATGATCGAAGGGAAACAATACCAGCACCTTGAGCTTGCACTGGTGCGTGGATATGTGCGCTATAAATGTCAATAATAATAATAATAATAATGCCTATAGCGTTTTACTTGTTTATTGTAATTGATGAAAAAGACAAAAACTGACCATTACAGTTAAACCTATGGATTGGGACGTAATTCTTCAAGCCTGACCTGAGCTATAACACTTTAGAGTCACTCTTTGTTAATTGACTGGCATTCCTTGATCTCTGTAATGCCCAGATGTTACATTGAGTCCGCTGTATGTTTGGTACATAGCAAATGGGAGGAATGAACAGCTAGCACGGCGGTCAGACACCTTTAACTGTGAGATAGAACTTGATGCTAAAATAGCAATTTCTAAATAACATACTCGTCCCTCATAATACTAGGTTACTGGCACAGTGGAAGTGATTATCAGTTCCTATTCAAAGGATATAACATGACTGTTATTCACATTAATGTATGACATGAATTTGTCACAATTACGAGCGGATGATTGAATGTTCTTTAATGCGCTAGTTAGGAAAATTCCAGCTACCTCGTAATGAACTGAGGGTATGGGGGGTAGCACAGTGGTTAAAGCGTTCACTCGTCACACCAAAGACCGGGAGTTCGAGCGGCAAATAGGTTTTACATACATACATACATACATACATACATACATACATACATACATACATACATACATACATACATACATACATACATACATACATACATACATACATACATACATACATACATACATACACGTGCGTGCGTGCGTGCGTACATACGTACAGCAACCCATGCTTGCCATAAAAGGCGACTATGCTTGTCGTAAGAGGTGACTAACAGGATCGGGTGGTCAGGCTCGCTTTGACACGTGTCATCAGTTCCCAATTGCGCAGATCGATGCTCATGCTGTTGATCACTGGATTGTCTGGTCGGACTCGATTATTTACAGACCGCCGCCATGCAGCTGGAACATTGTTGAGTGCGGCGTAAAACGCAACTCACTCCTTACAATGCCTTGTGTTTCAACTTCACAGTCAGCAAAATTCTAGCTGTAAGACGATGACCTGAAAGTAATCCTGCTTTGACTTCGAGAGAAACCACTTATTTTTGACTTATTCCCCTGACTAAGTTGAACGATGAACAAATTAACCAAGGCAGAGCAACAGATCTGTTTAGTCTCCTCTTTCTACGGTTGGGTTGGTTGGTTTTATAGTTTTAGGGCGACGTGGGCCAATAAGAGGCCTATTTGCGCCCAAAATTGACTTGAGTCAATAAAACATCATAGGTAATTTCATCGCCAATAGGAATCGTTTAGTTAACATAAAAGAACCGACAACACTATTAATATTCATTTAGATAGAGGTATACATATATCGAATAACCTCTGCTTCGTGTTACGGATTAAAAACCTCAAGTAATCACTTCCTTTTCTGAAACATGAAATACTTATTCATT